TACGAGTCAAGACTAAGCTGGTTCATCGCGACGATTCGGTGGGCCTCCGTTTTCCAATCCTGCTACCTGGAAGTCATCCAATAGTGAGCTGCTTAATACGTTCTATCCATCTTCGGTTTTGTCATGCGGGAGTGCAGTTTGTTTTGAACAAGCTACGAGAACAATTCTGGATATTACGCGGCCGTCGTGAAGCCAAAAGGATAATCGCCTCTTGTACCGTTTGTCGCAGATTCAAGCAAAAGAGAGCTGAAGCTGTTCCTGGCACACTGCCCCATCGTGTTAAAGATGCCATGGCGTTTGAAACTACTGGAGTTGATCTTTGGGGACCTCTGTACCTGAAATCGGGAGCAAAAGTTTGGATAGTTTTGTTCACCGTGCTGTATACAGGTGTGTGCATCTGGAGTTGGTTACTTCGCTTTCGACTGAAGCCTTTCTATTGGCTCTGCGGCGTTTCATCGGACGGCGTGGACGACCATCAACTATATGGAGCGACCAAGGCACTAATTTTGTCGGTGCAAACAACTTATTCGACTCCTTGGATTGGAAACAAATTGAGCGTGACTGGATTGATTCTGCTATACAACGTATTGCTTGGACGTTCAATCCAGCTTCGGCACCTTGGTGGGGCGGATTTTGGGAACGCCTCATTCGATCTATTAAGGATCTACTGAAACGGATCTTGGGCAGAGCTCGTCTGTCTTACACGTAATTAATGACCTGTGTGATCGATGTAGAAGCGGTTATTAATCAGAGGCCGTTGACTTGCATTTCCGAAGATAGTGAAGATCTGATTCCTCTCACGCCGGCGATATTTCTTTGCGAGATTTCGGAAGTGTCCGTCCCGGATCTCGACCAATTGGAGAAAAGCGGATATATGGACCCATATATAATTTTATATAAAGCACCAAATTTCATATATAATCACATATAATCACATATATTTATATATAATTATATATAGTTATATATAATCTTTTTTTACCGGGTGGGTAATTTTTTTATTTTTGGTGCAGATCTGTGAATAATTTCCCACCAAAGGCGTCGGTGTTCGGAGCCACATCTTCACCAACTTTGTCACCAACAGATGAAGAGCTGTCGCTTCCGCCGTCATTGGCATCTTCAGGCAGCATAGAAACAATATTGAGCGAACAGGCTGTGGATAATGTTAGTGCTCTATTTAGAGTGATTGCTACCTGTTCTCCTCTCTCGTCACCTTTACCTGGGTGTAGCTTATTATCAGCTGCTGCAAGCTTACCCTACTTAGGACCTACAGGTCGGTGCAAGAAGTCAAAGGTGGACGAAACGGCTGAAATGTTCAAAGAGACTCTCGTCAATCTGAACAAATCTATGGCTACACCTAATAGTACTGCTGCTTCATCACCTTTAATTGATATTAATGATCCAGACGTTTTGATCGGCAAAAGTGTTGAATCTTGCCTCAAGAGTCTAACGAATATGGGTTTGAAACTGAAGTACAGGAGGAAATTTAGGTCTATCATTCAAGATTGTGAAGAGGAGGCTGAAGATTTGAAAGTACCGGAAGTACCGAATTAATTACGTGTTTTAACATATTACTATATTGTTCTATTTAAATAATGTGTATTGGTAGAGGTTTTACAAAATGAGTTTTATTTGAAAATAAAAATGTTTCCTTTGTGTTTCAATAAAAACATTTTATTATGTTTTGTATTTCTATTTATTATATTTCAAATATCATGGTAGTAAGCGTAGATTGCATGACATTATCGTTCTATGTATGTCGAATTAATTAAGGTATCCGCGATATCGAAAGCGAATAATTGTGAGTCCATTCAGTAATCGTGATAGCGAACCCAATACCAATAAAATTAAAAGGAGAATTGGAAAATGGAATGGAGAATTTTTTGTTCCCACGTACCTTTCTTCGGAATCTTTTCGATTTTTTCTCCGATTCGAGATATCCGATGTAGATCCGAAGGACCAAAATAAAGCACTTCTTTGAAGTATGTACTTTATTTCTAAATCTGTCCTGCTAGGTTTAATTAAATTTTTATGTCATTTCTACATCGAGTTTTTTTCGTATAATTGCATGTATAATGATACAGTTGCATCGTTCCAAAGTACAGTAATATACACTTGCGGCGAACGCAACTGAACAACTCTTGACCAATAAAAGCGAGAAACAACATGACGCAAAATAATAATAAATTACACTAGACAAATTATCGGAATCTACAGCTACTGAAGGGGGATAATTCCTTGCCGGATCCTCACAATATTGTCTTGATGGCGCATAGCCCCAGGCCCATTTACAAACTCTTTCAGTGTATCTCTCTGTTGTAATACTCCAAGAACAGAATTTCTTGCTCCCATCCGTGGACCATCAATGATGGCTCCATTCTCCCCAGCGACAATGTCATGCCATTCTCCCTCTACCAGTTCGCCAGTTGGCAATTCCTGGTCCACAAAAGAAGGGGAGCAATATGATAGGTTGAGTTTCCTGTCGCCTGTCTTGCGGATGAAATTGTGGAGGCAAACAGCACATTCAATGATGCTTTCCACATTGTCTTCTGTAGCAATAATGGGGTGACGGAAAATCCTCCAACGAGCCGCTAAAATGCCAAAAGCATTTTTAATTACTCTCCTTGCTCTGCTCAACCTGAAGTTATACACAGACTTGTCATGGGGTATGTTGCGCTCGCCATAGGGTTTCATCAGGAAAGGTTTCAAAGGAAAAGCTGCATCTCCTACAAGGAAGTAGGGCATGTCAACCACAGTTCCTGGTAGGTGACTTGAATTCGGCAAGTTAAGGGATCCATCATTCAATTGCCGACCTATTTCAGACGATTGAAAAACTCCGCCATCACTTTGTGAGCCTTCTGCTCCTACATCCAGCATGATGAAATTGTAGTGTGCATCACAAACTGTCAATAGAACCATGCTAAATGTCTTCTTGTAATTAAAATAAACACTTTGGGAAGCTTGTGAGGCCTGTATTTGAACGTGCTTCCCATCGATGGCCCCCACACAATGAGGAAACTGCCATTCTTCCCAAAATCCAGCACTCACCTCACGACACTCCGCTTCATTTGCTGGAGGGTTCACAAATACACTCTTTAATACACTGACAAGTGCTCGAGTGGTTTCGGCCAGGATCTGAGAGACAGTGCTCAGGCCACATCGATAGGAAAAGCTCAGAGTATACTGACTGTCTCCTGCTGCCAAGAATCTGCAAAGCAAATTTACAAATGGAATCGACTTCTGAGACTTAATTGATAAGATAAGCAAACATTGATGATCTTACCTCAATGTCATAGCAAGCCTCTGAGTGGGTGAAAGAGCAGTGTACATTTCTCGCTTCTTTATCAGTGGACCAATCAAGCTCAGGAGATACTCGAATCTAAGAAAGCGAACATATAATTTGTAAAAACAAACTCTGTGCCAGAAAAATATTTATTTAAGCGCTTCTTTATCAGTATACCAAGCAAGATCAAGAGGTACCAAAATGTAGGAAAGCAGACATTAATTTGTAAAAATGATTATATTTTGTACTAAGACAATCATTAAATCTTACCTTTCGACATTCATCCTTGTGTAAATAAAAAAAAAGTGTGGATCACGAAAACGGAGTTCTTCAAGTAAATTATGTTCATCACCAAACTGGGTTCTTCTCCGAAAAATCTCTTTCACACCAACGGTTCGTACTCGTTTCTTTTTCCGCAGTTGAAGATACAAATATCCGGCCAAAATTAAGTTAAAAAACTGATAATGCCTCATAGCAGAATTCATTTGGAATTACCAAGCAGGAACTACCAACGAGAATGACAACAAATCTTCTATTCACATCACGCTGTCAAATCATTTTTCAAATGCACGCTGCTTCACGTTACGGCGATCGTAATTTCTTAAGTTCACGTTACGTTACTTCGCGTCCCGTCGCGTCCCGTTACGTTAAATTCATCGTAATCCCGGCTTTAAACCAGGAGACGTACTAATTGGGTCGGACAATCGTAAACGTTGGAGTGGCCGCTAGGTAGAGTTTTAAAGCTGTTACCCGGAAGAGATGGAATACCGCGACTAGCCCAATTGAAGCTCAACTCTGGAGAGCTGATTCGACCTATCCAGCGCTTATATTTGTTGGAGGCTGATCCTGTAATATTAAAAAGAGACGATCTTGCACCTACAGCCAAACCCGAAGAAACAGCGGAGGTGATCAGGAGCGACCGGAAGAAAGACGCAGTTGAGGTGATCACACACAAGGGCGACCGGAAGAGAGAAACAGCTGATTTGATCAGGGACGACCGGAAGAAAGAGTCTGCTGGAATAACGCGAACTGGACGTCAAATACGGAAACTTCTTATAGCGTTTTCGATTTGCTGACTCGTCCCGACTCAGGGTCGGGTCGAGTCAGATCTCAAGTTCGATTTAAAACTCGATATTTTTAGGAACGCACTCAGTATCATGACGGAAGGTGTGTCTCCTAACCTATTACTGATAGTTCACGGAAGCTCTAGCACTATTAGCACATGCGGAACTTCATACTTCAAGAGATTTCGCGAAAATATTTCAGCTCGTATTAAGTAAATGTAATAAATATAACAATGAGTGGATTAGGTAAGAAATTTGTACTATGTTAGTAATTACTGTTAATTATAAAAAAGAACAAATGTACATACAATATTAATTGATTGTAACAAAAAATCATAAATGATAATTTTTACAGGAAAGAAGAAGACAAGTGTGAGTCGCGATGAAAATGGACAAATAATAAAAACGGATGAAGGAATTCTGTATGAATATGTGGATAACGACGGTAAACATTTTATTTAAAATATTGTAAAATTAATAATATGCTTTATCGCCAATGAATTTCCACTGCTGTAGCATCAAAAATATAAAATCATTTTTTTCCTCAGGAAATACCACATTAAAATATCTACGGACAGCACATCCGTCCTGTAGCGAATCATCATCAACATCAGTTGAAAGTGGTAAGTGTGTGTGCGCATTGCTATGCGAAAAACTTTGAACAATAGAAATATTGCATTTGAGATAACGATGAAGCAATTTCATTTCAGAGAGCATAATGCCATGCAGTACAGCATCATTTAAGAATGAAGAATTTGTTGAAGAAGAAAATGATTCACATGGAATTGTATGGACAGATAATGAAAGCAAAAAATTACTAGAATTATATTTCAAAAATATTAAACAAATAGGCCCATTTACCAAATTCAAAAACAAGAAATGTATGTGGGAATTTATAAGTAATGAAATTACGAAAACATTTGGAACTTTTCGTTCGTCCATGCAGTGCGAATACCGATATAAAATATGTTAAAAAAAAGAAATGTGCTGCAAAGAAAAATAACAAAAAATCAGGGAATAAAAAATGTAATATCGACTTTGAAGAAGAATTTGAATTAATCAATAGTATCGACGATAGCATCGAACCTGACGTTTGTTTCGGTATAGGCCAATGTACTATTAAAAAAAAAAAAAATAGACTCTTTGAGCAGCGAAGATGAAGTTGAGAGGAAAATTCAGAAACCATCAAACATTTTTGCACTGTTACAAGACATTAATAATGAGAAAAAAAAGCAGAAAGAGCGTCGGCATAAAGAAAAGATAGAAGTTCTTCGAGAATTATTTTCCACAAATAAAAAATAAATTATTTCAAGTAATACTTTTTATATGCAATAACCAAAGTTTATATTATAACAGTAAGCTTTTCCATAAGTATATATATATATATATATATATATTGTTGCGCCCGTGCCGAGACGCCCGGTAGAAGCCCGAAAAGCAGTCGCGAAGCGCTGCGTGACGTCGAGCCTTGACGACGAGCTGTTGCGTTTGTTTGTTTACTTCTGCCGTCTGTCAGATTCTCCGCCGGACCTTCGAACCGTTCAGACGTGTTCACGAGCCATTGTTCTATTACATTACTGCATTAAACGAGTTCTTTTCTATTTGTGAGTATTTATTCCCGGTAACGGGATTGCGCGCCGCGTTCGCGAGTGAGTGCGTGAGAGTGTGCTGCGAACGCGCGGTCGAGCGCAACATTTTGGGGGCTCGTCCGGGATCGGACGAGCGACGACGAGCATTATTCCGATTACCACGATGGCCACGAGGAAGAGACTCCGGGTGGAGACACCTCAGCGT